CCTCTAGCCGGCAGAGTAGTTCTGGTCGCGCTGCGCGGCGGCCGCGGCTGCTGCGGGCTCGGAATGTTCTACGCCGTGCGCAGGGGCCGCAGGACCGGCGTCTTCCTCACCTGGTGAGTGGGCGCGTCGGCCTGTGCGGACCCCGCAGGCGGCTTTGGGGCGGCCGGGCCTCCCTGGGGCCTGTGCTGCGGACGGGCTCCCCGCGGGAGGCGCGCAGCCCCGGCAGCGCCGCCAGCGTCGCCAGCACAGGTTCCCTGCTCCGACGGGGCCGGAACTGGAGCGCGCTCCCTGGCGGGTGGGTCCCCGCTGTCGGGAGCTCTGGGTCAGCGGAGTGGCAGAAGCTGGACCGGACCCTCCCCTCCGCAGTATCAGGTTCTGTCGTCGGTGTGCACAGGTGGACTCCCCGTGCCTGGCCGCGACAGCAGAGAGGAAGAAGCGCCTCTTTGTCCGCCCGTTTTGTTGCCATACAGTGATCAGTCGGCCTTTTTCAAAGACCCCCAACTTGTTGTTATGCTCTGAGTTTGAGGAAAGCCAGTGGGGCCGACGCACCGTCCGCCTGGCGGACAGCAGGGCAGGGGTGTGGAACGTGACACTCCAGGGAACGCTGCAAGCTGTAGGGTGTGACATTTGCCCCCAGGAGCTGGCAGCCCGTCCTTTCTCACACTGTTTCCCACCTAAGAGAAGAGTCTTCATTAAAAGGAGGTAGTTGGACAGGGAGGGAAGTTGGAAATGACGTGCCTCCCTTTTCCAGGAATGAATGCAAGGCGCAGGTGGACCGGTTTCCTGCTGCCCGGTTTAAGAAGTTTGCCAGTGAAGATGAGGCCTGGGCCTTTGTCAGAAACTCCGTGAGCCCGGATGGTGAAGGTACTCGCCTGTCTAGAGTGTGGTATTTTAGCCCATTCAGAGCCTTCACAGCCAGATCTGTGCACGGAGGAGGCTCGGCAATCTCATTTTTTTTCTCTATTGTACAGATTAAAGAGTAGTGCTCATGTCAGTAATAGTGTTAGACACACCAGGACGCTCATCTCTTTTTGCATTCAGTTTATCACGAGGTCATAATTCTTTTTTTTTTTTTTTTT